TTAGAATTTGCTAGAACACTGGATTTTGAAGTTACAAATACGTGAATTTATAATACTAATCTCGAAACTACGATGAGTACTTTCGATATTAATCTTAGTTCGTCATTATTATATATTATTTGATAGTAATTAGGGTAGGGTATAAATTATAAAACGCAGTATAGTAATTGATGTAAACTGATTCTAGTATCTTGTATTTTAATATTTACCTAAGTTGAGGTTCAATTAAGAAAATATAAATATATATTGTAGGTAGGTGTAAAAAGATCCCAAGTTTTACCTGACAATAAATAAGATCCCTAAGTTCCTGAAGTTCGTAAGACAAATGTCTAACTTTGCCATCGCGACAGATGCATTTGAGAGTCTTTTCCCCAACATGTACTACTAGTGAAGTTCTGCAAACTGCATCATACCTGTATAGGAAAAATTTAATCATAGAAAAAATATTCTTGTAAAATAGGAGCACAATGAATAATTGAAAATTTTGCCTTTATGTGTAGTGACTAAAAACGGGCTAAGTATATTTCATACAGAATAGGTAATAAACAAAATACAGTTAGGTAAAAGAAGTTTGAACTCTTCACCTCAATTATATCTTAATGCAAGATACAGCATAGTAAGTGATAAGGAAACAAAATACATTAAAATTTATCTATATAAATAAAAATGAATTTCCGTTCGTTAGTCTCGCTAAAACTCGAGTACAGCTGAACCAATTTGGCTAATTGTGGTCTTGAAATGTTCGTGAAAGTCCAGGGAATGTTAAAAAGGTGAGGAAAAATTAGGCGGTATAAACTTTGCTGCGTCAGCTAGTTATTATAAAAAAAGAACAATAACCCGATTGTAGGAAATAGACTGAAAAAGAGAAGATTATGTTATTTAGAATACAAAAGTATCACTAAAATCCTGACATAGTTAATAAATGCTAGGGTAAATGAGAACAGATAGGTAATTATTGCAACTTACCCGTAAGCCATTATATTGATTTTCACACATGATTGTGTTGGACTATTCAGTGCATTCCAGTGGGACACGATCAGTGGATCTTTCACCTGGATAGAACATAATATTAGTACATAGTACTTAATATCAAAACATGTAAGATTTTTTATGTCACTGAGGTAGTGAATTTAAAAAAAAATTAAACATTAAACTTAGTAACATTTTCATTCTGGGACACATCCAACACTTTTTGTCGATATTTTCATTATTTTATTTATGAATAGTATTTTTTGTTATTGCTTTATACTTGATCTACTTTCTAAGACTTCTTTAAAAATTCAATACCTACTATAACATTGGATCATTACTTGTAACATAGTTTTTTACATATTTTTCTTATGTATCTAAATAAAGGGAGGTGGGAAAAGAATAATTATGGCATAAGTACCTCACATTCCATAAAAAACCTTGTTTTATAACATACCTCTTTAGCGATGGTATCAAGTACATATTCACTACGTCTCCGCATAAAGAAGTGTTGTGCTTGTTGAATGATTTGTTCTAAGAGAGATTGTTCCTTACTCATATCTAGCAATTCATAACGATCTGCTGCCATTGGACCTGAAACAGACTTGAAGATAAAACAGATGTCTTCGCTTTTAGTATATAGATGATTTATGAGGTTCTGAAGATAGAAAACTTCATCTTTCATTAAACTGTCAAACACCAAGCGGTCACCGGTGACCGCAATCTATTGTTCTATAATTGTGTCTACAAAACCGGTACTCGACGAGTTAATAATCCTCCATAATAATTAACTGGAATCGAATATTTCTTTTAACACGTCTTTATACCTTCACGTTACTACTACATACTGTGTATCGACGACATCCTTTCTTCGCCTTCATACAATATTATAGAATTAATATACCTGCTAAGCAGCGTCGTTTCGAAGGTCCAAGAGGGCCTGTTGCTGGGTGAGGGAAAGGATGGTGTGTGTTAGCATGATGCACAGCCCGGAGTAGCTGATGTAAGGAATGCTCCAGAACATGGTCGTGGTCTGACTTGCCGGTCCCACTTTCAGGCTGAAAATGAAAAACGATTTGAATTTTTTTATACTGTGCAAACTCCTTTGCGATGTCCTCGTGTATGTATTTCATTTTTCTATACGGACCTTTACTCCTTCTGGATTGGTGTTGTTTGTATTTTGTCCATTGTTGTGACAAAGTCCAATTAATAACTGTATGCCTGGAAGAACCTAAAATAAAGAAAATCTTTGAAAAAAATAACAAAAACTGTGATACAAATAAAACATCCTATAAAACAATTTAGATACAAGACAGCAATAGAAATTAATATCAATTCATTTTTATTCAAAACAATGAAAAAAATATAGAGGAATATTCGAGTATTCAGTTATCTTTCGATTTATTTATTAATGAAAAAAAAAATGTTATTTTATTCTTCTAAAAATAGGGGGAGCAGAGGTTGTTATTAAGTTGACACAAGAAAATATGCAATTTTATTTACAGTGGCCATAATTTGATTGCCCACAACCATGTGTGGTATAGAAGCGTCCAGCTGTACTGCTTCTGCTGCTAATCTTGCAAACAACTCCTTGCAGAAAAGTACATTCTGTGCTGCCTCCAATTTCTGTTGCCAGTGAAGTTCTGCTCCATCCCCTGGTAGCGTTCCAGGGCAGTTGATGGCTGCCGAACTTAGCGTCGCTGTGACCACGTCTTCTTGTTCTAAAACAGGCAATGTTATTGATATTTGCAACTATCGTGAGACATACTAAAATAAGTAAAACCAGTGAGCTGCGCGACGTCGCCGCGACCGCGCACGCTTCTCATGAGGAAGAACCCCTCTGTGGTTCGAAACTAGTAGAGCTTTTCTCAGTATATTCACGTGAGTAACCCGCGTTTTTACTTAATTTATTGATATTTGGTATTGATTATTTATGTAGTGAATGAAAATTATGCTGGTCAAGTGCTCATCACTCGACGCTCGTCGCGTTGTTTGTTAGGCACTGCTGCTAAAAACTATGAGGACCCTGGCAAGGCTTAGGCATAGTTGGTCCAACTAATCCAGTTGCCTAGTTGATTATATGCAAAATGATTAAAAGTGGTTTGTAAAAGATAGCTCACCTTTTTGACAGAGCACAGATATGAAAGCCACTCCTTGCAGTTCAGGTGGAACTGTGACACGTAATGCGGACGGCACAGGTCCTGCTGCATTCATTGCTTGAGCTATTTGCTCTTCTGGTGCTTTAGTTACCTAATAAAATATTAATTGTGTTAAATGTTTTTCAAATGAACACAGGTATTCAATATATGTGTTTATAGGAATAACATAAAATAACATTACGCCTTTTATCCTCGAAGGGGTAGGCAGAGGTGCACATTATACCACTGTACAATGTCACACCCACTAGAAATAAATACATACAATAAAAACTCATAATACCCTCAAAAACTGAACTGGAGCTAGTCAGACAAACAAAAAGTACTAATTAACTGTAACTACTAAAAATACCCATCATACACACCTCAAATACTCCAGTCTGACTAAACTTGGACCCTGCAGTACGGTAACTTAGGTCCCCAACAATAGTGTTTGATACTTTCTTCAATCTCCAGTTCTGTCGTAGCCTCAAGAGGTCTATGTGGAAGTCAGGCATGTTACGAGTCATTCGCATGGTTTCACTTGCTCTTAGCCGCTCTACTCCTGCCAGGAGTACTGCTGCTGCTGCTCCTAGGGCCTTCTTCCGTCCATAGACTTGTACCATAGGTCTGCTTTCTGTTTGTTCAGGTTGCACCGGGTCTAAAACCTGTAATATAGATGAGAGAAAAATGTTTTATCAGTAAATTAAAAAATTGCTGTATCATTAAATTTTTTTTTCTCTTCATTTACAACTGATTTTATTATTAGCATCTTATTGGGAAAAAGTGTTCAGGATCATTTAATCCGTTAAGTGTCTTATGCGCCAACATACTTGACAGGTTAGAGCTTCTAAAAAAAGGCAATACTTTTTCAAAAAGTTAATCTTTACAATCATTATCTGTTAAGTTTGTATGAGATTGCATATTGTAGTGTCATAATATTTTGTGTTATTTAGTACACTTCTTCCAAAAATTAGCTAGTAAAGAGAAAAATGTTATGCAATTTATTTTTGTTTGAGAAAACATCCTCACTATATTTATCATCAAGTATTCAAGTCACTTACCATGTACCTCTTCTCTTTAGCAATGCTGAGTACATCAGCCAATACTGACACTTCAGTCAAAGCATTTCTGAGTTTGTTCCGGACAGAATCCCACGGCCACAAGCTGGACTGGTACCCAGGCTCCTTGTTCTCATCCTCAGACTTCGAATCAGAACTACTCTCGCCTTCCTTCTTGATATTACAGAACTCATCTTCAGTTTTTGAAAAGTCTATTTTCTGTGCTAAGCGAGCTAGGTTCTCTGACATGGACAGAGGCCTGGAAAATGTCCAAATAGGGAGTAATTATTAAATGATTAGTCTTATGATTCTTGTGTAAATCAAAATCACTACTAAATTCTTACAAAAACTAGAAGTAGCACATGTCTATATACTTACGCCTGATAAATCTCCTGGCCATCGTAAGTGATCTCTTGGATTTGATTCTCAATTGGCGCCTCTATAGAAATATTTACTGAATTTGCCATACTTCTTGCTTTCTTGATAACATATATCTATTAATAATTTACTTTACCATAACATTGCCAGTATGAATTTGTACAACTTATCATTCTACGATAGTTTTAAAGTATTATATTATTGGTCATGTATTTATAAAAATCGACGATTTACATTTACAAAATCTATGACTCGTTTTGTAGTGAATATAAATAAACAATCAGAAAATTCACTTTTGGGCGATTCCAACAAACAACGACCGCCACAAACTAAAAAATTCACTTTTTTTGACAACTTGCTATGTGTCAATTTGACATTTTGATAGACAATTTTGTTTTGTTTTATTATTCAATTTACGAGTACGAGGGCTTTTAACTTTCGTTTGCACGAAAAGTTCGTATCATTTCTATTTTTAGTAATTTTTACCACAATTTTTAATTAAATTATGGTCTTGCTAAATATGCAGTTAAATCATTGTGGGTTGTACGAAAATAATTTTGAAACATTTCTGATAATTTTACCTAATTGGACTTCACTTCACTTTGATGTACAACAACCCCAACCAATGGTTGTCTTTCTTTGTCGTGCGTGATCACTTGTTATCGATGTTCTACACGTAGAAGTACGAAAGTTTCGTGAACACGAATTCAAAATGGAAGTCTTGGTACTGAAATATTGATTTATTTAGAAACGTTGATGCTATAACTTGCAGCAAGTTTATGAGTACACATTTCATTCAAGTGAGAACTTAACCATGTCAGATCGGGTGATAGCGGTGAGTAGAACAATCAAAGGCATTTTATAATACTTTACAATAGATTTTATAGATTCGATAAACACGGTAACTCGAACCGGTCTTGGCGTAACTAGTTCGTGTTTCACTTCACTCCTACTTACTCATTGCATTTTCACTTTGTTGATGATGAGTCGAGAATTGTTCGAATTCGAGCGTGAGTTCGATATCACATCACATAATCGAGCTACACGAGTAAATAATTAATTTTATTTGTAATTTATTAAGAACATAATGCATGAGTGAATTTATTGTTACCTTGATATGTTTTTAAAAAGTAAAATTTTAGATTCTGCCTTATATTTTATCCAAGTCTCGTACTTACTTCATTTAGTACCTTATTGTGTGTATTGCTGTAGGTACCAAAAATAATCAAAAGGCAACAATGAGACGTTCTGAAAATAAAATCCTAATTACAATGTCATTGACAGAAAGCTATTGCCTCATATTGAAACTTTATAATATTTGGTATATTTGGGAGCAACGAAATAATCATAAAATCAGACAATTAAGCTCAGTAGAAACCTGGATAGCAAAGAATGTACTTTATATGCCTACAAAAAATAGTATCAAATAGAGAATATGTAATAAATATAAGTATGCCTCTTGTTTTCCAGTCCCGTCCCAGCCTCGAGCAGGTGCAAGCTATAGTGGACTTTATGGAGAAGCACCCAGCTCTAGGTTTAGGTCAACTAAGAGGTTTTGAGGGTAGAGATGAGGGTAAGAAGCTGTGGTTAAAGTTAGCCCGTCTGGTGAACAGTCTTTCCGGCCCTACCAGACCTGTGAAGTCTTGGGTAAAAGTAAGTTTCTTTATTAAAAGGTTGTTTTATTTTGTAAATTAGTGAAAGCAAATGAATTTCAGTTAATCAGTATTTATTTCCAAATGCCTTGCGTTTTGCAGGGTCTTTTTTAACACATGAAATGTCATATGGGTAACTGGTGACTGATGTTAGTGGAGGATTTGCCTTCAACAGTTTTCTATTGGCAGTCAAAGCAATAAATGTAATAATTTAATTTAGACTCAGGGCCCTTCTCATCCTGTTTTTACACCAATGTTTTATTGTCTACCTACTTAAAAATAGATAAAATCATGAAATATTTTATTGACATTAATATAACGGTACTTACCATATGTATTTTTCATATAGAAAATGACTATTTTTTAGTTTTGGGCTGATAAGAAGTCGACCGTCAGATCCAAGGTGCAGGCTACAGGTGACCCTAACAACCTTGGCTCCAACATTGAGAAGAAGATATGGGATCTCTTTCTGGCTAATGAAACTGGCCGTAAGTTATCAAAGTTAAATTACTTTTATCACTTACTGATTTGATTTTAAAACCATGTTCACAGCTCTTGACAGTGCTGGACTATCAATGTGCCTTCTCTGTAAGTCTATACAGGACATTATATGAGAGGTTTGCTATAATCTTCACATTTGGTTTGCTCTGTTTAAAAGGTTCAGATATATTAATGTGTGCTGCTGCTCTGGGTCAGTCAAATGTAGATTCTTTAAGACGGTCCTTACTTAAATGTTTTATAATTCGGTTTCAACTGTCAAACACCAAGCGGTCACCGGTGACCGCAACCTATTGTTCTATAATTGTGTCTAGAAAACCGGTACTCGACGAGTTAATATGCATAGTTAAATATATTTGATAATTCTTCAGGGCCTCGTGGTGCAGTCAAGAGGGAAGTGGAGAACAACTTTTTAGATGAGAATTTCTACAATGAGGACAGCATGGATCAGAACCATGCGGAGTCTGAACAAGTGATGACCTTTGAAGACCCCATGACAGACACTGAAGAACGACAACATCAACTTATGGAGAAAATGGTAAGCTCATCAAGTTGTCCACACGCAATTACCTATATGGTAATTATAACTAAGCCGGTAAACATGTAGACGAATCACAACACTACGGTAAGCAATCGGCGTAGTCCATAGACATCCGCAACTTCAAAACAGTCCCAAGTCTGTTAGGTACCAGTTTTATATGTGTAAGGAAGAACATGAAGGAAGAATTCTTTGCAAGGCTTTTACTTATCTGTACCTACTTATTTGTTTTATATGTTGAATTTATACTTTTATTTCAGTTGAAAGTGCTGGCTGATCAGTCGTCCGCAATGTCTCAGTTAGCGAATGCATCCCATTTAAATGCTCAAGCGATGGAGAGGCTTGCTGAAGCTTCACAAATACAGGTACTTAATTGTTCGACAAAAATAAACTTTTTAAACAAACAGGCTGCATGGTACAGTTGCTAACTGATTGGCTGCTGCAAATAATGTTACGGGTTCGATTTCCGTTTTGGCCTTGTCAGACCCCTTTCCATTCATGTAGGATTACCGTCACAACGGATCATGAGAATGAGATTTTTTTTAATAATATAAATTCTGCATAAGACATTTGTGAACATCTTTCCTTTTCATAAAATTTATTTAATTATCATTAACTCTATTGTTTCATATCCAAAAGGCGAGAGCGATAGACCGTCTGGCGAATTCGTTCGAGACCATTAGTGCTGCGACCCATGACGTTCGCAATGCGATCGTCGATATCGACGTGACGATGAAGCGATTCTACTCGACATCGCCCACTTAGCACAGGTACTTGTGAACACTCGATTAATTCGATGCTGTTCGCGTTCATGCTAAATTGGCTCTTATATCTAGACGTAATATGAATGTAAGTTCCGTGCTGTTGTCAGAAAATGCTGTATGGATCGGAGTGTAATTTGCCATAGCTAGTGATAGTATGTAGTATAGAATAACAGTATTGGACAATTAACGATATTGAATGGAATTCCACATTGAAGAAAACTTGTAAGTATACTAACTTAAGTACTTAAGACTAATCTAATACTTAGTTGTTACTACTATGGGCGTTGTTAAAAATTAGTAAATCATGAATGTTCTAATAAAAATAAATTACTATAATTTTCTGTATCGCGTAATTTTGTTATTCATTCATTGTCTCTGTCCAATGGTAGACAATACTGGCGTGATATTTGTACATTTAGTATCCTGTTTTCACTTATAATGATATCTAAGTAAATACATTTAATATCATGTTTTTACTTGTAATTATAATTTTCGAGTATTGGATATAAAAAAAAGAAAATTGTGATATTTAGGGCTGTTTAGTTCCCATGTTTGCATTTATTCGATATTTAAAAAATTAAAAATGTCTGTTGAATGTATGTAAGTATTCGAATATTAATTTAAAATTCAAAAAAGGAACTCATGTCCTTGTAAAATGTATAATATTATTGTAACTAGAAATTGTAAATAACGCAGTTACTTTTATGTAAGTTAGAAATTATGTTATGGATATTCAAGTAACTGGGTGATTCTACAAAAAAAAACAGAAAAAATTAACGGCGTCATTATCCTTTAGCCAAAGTTAACATTTCTGCTGATTTAAATATAAAGTTTAGTTTCAAGAAATTGAGCCGTGTCACTGCTCTCAACCAATCCAATAAAAGTACAGATGCTAATAAGTTACCGCGATGCTTAACAACGCGAGAGGATAATGATTTGTTAAATAAAAGTTAAAGTTTTTTGAAGAAACACCCGACTACTTAGCATTTCATTAGTATATTTATAGACAACAATGACTCAAAATGTTATTTTATTTTAAGTACAAATAAAGCTGATTATTGTATGTATAAATATGCTACATAGTTAGGTACCTACTTATTCTATACTACTCTTACAATGGGTCTACTGTTTTTTTACTTTTACTCACTAGATGGCGCAGATGAAGCTTATTGTTTTGTCCAATCACTGAAGCTGTCAAATATCGAACGTCCAATGGTGCATACCATCACTAGCTAACTCCCCATTGGATGATAAAAGAGATATTCACACTAGCGCAGCCTGGTGAAGAAAAATACAGTAGCTCCCATTAAATAGTAACTGTATAGAAAATTTCATGTAGACATCAATATGACACAGGAATCGAATGCGGTAACTATGTAGTCAAGTTTAAACATATTTGTCATAGATGACTAATTTTATTGTATCTAATATTTTTACAATTAATAGGTACCTACTTTATTACGCTAAGCATTTATACTTGTATACTTAATTATATATATGTATAAATATTATTATTATAAACATAAACGATATCAACTTTATTATAAATTCGTAGTTTTAATTATTATGAAGTTTATCCCTGTATATGATTCATAACCTAATTAGTACCTACATCTTACCTATTTCATGTTACTTCCAGGATTTTTACCCAGTATTCTTTGTAAATAAAACACAAAATATAACTTGATATATTATATTATTCTCTACAATATCTATTCTTAAAGTTCTGTTTACTATGAAATAGGTACTTAATTCTAGTATTTACAAAATAAAAACTAGCTAACTCTAGATACGTCATCATCTCGTCATCACCATCCAGTGGCGAAGCGTGCCTTGGTGGGGCATCGTATAACAAACGTTTGGGGGCCCCCAAAAAATTTTTTAGTTTGAGGGCCCCTCACAATGGTCTAATTTATGGTAAAAAGTTGCTCGTAGAATGCACAGGGAAATTGTAAAAAAAACTGTTATCGACTGATATTTCTCCAAGATGAATTTAGGTAAAGTACCTAAGTACATCGAAGTCTGCAAAATTTGCAAAACTCCCGCGAAATTTTCCAGGCAACCCCTTACACCTTTGCCCAAATTATCGGACTATATTGATTTATTAGGTGTCTTTAATTTTTTTCATAAATTCTGTCATTTTTTGAACGCATGCTTTACACAAAAAATAAATTACTTATGGGCCCCATATTATTGACTAGCTACGTGCGCGCGATTTCACACGCTCTGCTCAGCTCCTATTGGTCGTAGCGTGATGTTTTATAGCCTATAGCCATCCTCGATAAATGCGCTATCCAACACAAAAAGAATTATTCAAATCAGACTTGTAGTTACGGAGATTAGCGCGTTCAAACAAACAAACAAAAGAACAAACTTTCCGCTTTATATAATAGTACTAGCTGTTGCCCGCGACTTCGTCCGCGTAGATTAATGACTTCTGACAGAATTAACCAGAATCAATTTAGTTCCCAAGTAAGATTTACCTATTTAGAAATGATTTATCGTAGTTTCAATAAATAAATAATCCCGCAGGGATCTTACCAGTACAGTGCCCGATCACGTAAGGTTTGAGTAATAAAAACTATTCTATCGACTATTGTTGTACCGAATCTCTCTAGAATAAGTTCAGTGGTTAAGAGTTAGAGAGTCCTGGGGCATTGACGCATAGTTCCCGTTCTCGTGAGACATCTGTGAAAAAACTATCATACGTTACCCAGGTCCCAAATCATCGTTTTACCGAATGTAATTCAAAAAGATTCAATGATTCTAAATTCAACGGCTAAGAAGATTTATACAAACTCTCATTCCCTATTTTATCCCCTTAGGGGTGGAATTTATCAAAATCCTTTCTAAAGAGATACCTATGTCATAGTAACTTTATGCATGCAAAGTCTCAGCCCGATCAATTTAAAACTGGCAAAGTATCATACTTTGGGGTGAGAATGTTCAAAAACCTTTCTAAAGGGACGTTTACGTCATAATATCCATCTGCACGCCGAATTTCAACCCGATCGGTGTAAAACTGACAAAGCCTCACACAAACGTTCATCCCCTATTTTACCCCCTTGGTGGAAATTATCAAAATCCTTTCAAAGCGGATGCTTACGTCATAACATCTATCTGCATGCCAAATTTCAACCTGATCGGTTTAAAACTGACAAAGGCTCATATAAACTTTCATCCCCTATTTTACCCACTTGGGGGTGGAAATTATCAAAATCCTTTCACAGCGGACGCCTACGTCGTAACATCTATCTGCATGCCAAATTACAACCCGATCGGTTTAAAACTGACAAAGTCTCATACAAACTTTCATCCCCTTTTTTACCCCCTTGGGGGTGGAAATTATCAAAATCCTTTCACAGCGGATGCTTACGTCATAACATCTATCTGCATGCCAAATTTCAACCCGATCAGTTAAAAACTGACAAAGTTTCATACAAACTTTCATCCCCTTTTTTACCCCCTTGGGGGTGGAAATTATCAAAATCCTTTCTTAGCGAATGCCTACGTCATAACATCTATCTGTATGCCAAATTTTAGCCCAATCTGTCCAGCGGTTTGGGCTGTGCGTTGATAGATCACTATGTCAGTCAGTCAATCAGTCAGGCAGTCAGTCAATCACCTTTGAATTTTATATATATAGATAAGTAAGATTTTTTTATTTTTTTTTTAAGGGGGGAAAATCATCGTATGACTGCTCTCGCCTGGGTGAGGCGGGAGGGAGTGTCAGACTCTTACTGAGTAAAAACCACCCCGTTCCTTCTCCTGCACGTCGAGCCGGAGTCCCGGTTACCTGTTAGGTTCTAATAGTATAAGATACGGCAGATACGGGGCTAGCTACGCCCCCGTCATCATCGTACCAGCCACAAAAAGTCTACTATTAAACATGGCCTATGTTTAACAATGACTTCCATATCGGTTGGAATTCAAAGTAAAAAGATTTCAAAATCTATACTTGCAGAGTAAAAAGAACCCTGTTTAAAGTCATGGTTCAGTAGAAACGTATCTTGATTGGCTAACTAACCAGGTAACACATATCAAGCTACCTTAAATAATAGAGACCTGGTTGCAATGGCTGAGGGCAAAAAAGAACGCAAAGCCAATATGAGTACCTACATCAACTATGTGACTTGATATGTTTCGAAATTCATAAGGGGTTATAGAGGAAAATGTACCTTAGAATTGTGAGCTAAACAATATGGATCACTGTAACACAACAATATGTTGGTAAGCGATTAACGCCGCCCATGCACACCCGCAACACCCGACTGTATGTATGTAGGAGGGCCAATTACCCCCCTCCTTAGTCTCCCCAATCCCCGAATCCTCCACAATCCTCAAATTACCAATTTCCAAAACGCCGGTAACGCACTTGTAACGTCTTGGTGTTCCAGGTGTCCATGGGCGACGCCGATTGCTTATCAGGTGACCCGTCTACTCGTTTACCAGATTATCCCATAAAAAATGTAGGCATTAAAAAAAAATATACAAACACGGGTATAGGTACAAAATGTAAATATTGATCATTATTCTCAAAGAAATTTTCACCTTAAAGATACTAGACGTAGGTTGATAATCAACAATTCCCTATCTACCTGAAAAGACTATGGATATCACTTTGTCTTTTTGGTTTAATTGTCATTTTGATGTTTTATAATTATATGGCGGAAGTATTTAAGTACCACTTACAAAGTACCTACTCTAAGCTGTCGGTTTTTATTCGATTTTCGGCTTTATTATCAATAAGATAAAGTTGCAAATCGAATAAAGAAACTTGGTACCTGTATTAGCTATTGTACTTAATTAAATTTCTAAAAAAACTTGAATAATCTTGCTAGAAATGGATTTCTTCGTCTTCTGGTCTGATTGGTGATTGGCTTCGTGCCTTCCACGCCCAACCCGAAGGGTGATTTACTGTTTGTTCGTAGGTAGTAGTTTCCCTTAGCTCTGAAACAAATTTAAATGATAGAAGTGACTAGAAATATCATTTGACAATTGAGCTAGATTTATGGCGAGAATGAGAAAGTAAATGAAAATGAAAATGAAATGAAAATGAAAATATTTATTTGTAAACATAGGTACAATGGGATGTTACATTTCATGGTATAATATTGACCATCTATGTTTTGTGATATGTCACATACAAATTAGATTAAACATTTAAGTATTTAATTTAATAACGTCAGTAGGTGCCCCTCTACATTAATGGTCATCAAAGCACAGCTGAATGCCCAGAAATATTGAATTTTCAGCAAAGTAAACTGATTCGATATCTAGCTAATTGATGCCAGCACCAATTATCCCCAGGGTTAAAAATTCAAATATACTCAACACATAATTTACGATTAAGTAGATATAGCTAGACTATTATCTTAAAGCGCCGAGTCACTAGCACTAACAACCACTTCAGGATTGAGGTCCGTGGATTGGCCGTCATTGGTAGATACATAAACACTAGTACCGTGCTTCAAATCGTATAGGTTAAGGCCAGGTTTATTTACGGAAAAATAATTGTATAAACACTTTGGTAAGTAATCATCAAGCCGGTACTTAATTTCGTAAGTGCAACAAAAAGTTTAAGTTCAAAAAAATTACAATTGCTTTTTTCTCGGTTACCAAGTGATCTCACAAGCACTTGATACCTTCTTGGTTCAATCTATTATATGACTGCCACTATAAAATAAACTATACTTTATTGCCAAATTATTGGAAGAATCTACTTAGTCATACAATTAAAATGATTTTGAGAGAAACAATTCGATACAGAAATTATTTTTCTCTGAATTAGCTAGAATAGTAGTATAGTATTAGTAGTAGTAGTGTCGTCTAATATCAAACAGAAAGATAACATAAGTAAGTACCACTTGACTCACCACTTAAAACAGGGGCCGTAAAAACATTAACTTTCTGATGACGAAAGAAAATACTCACTGTGTGCTAGTCAAGTCTCCCAAATATATAGTGCGGTTGGATTCCCCTCCATGGGCGACCCATTCACTGTAATTTGACGCAGCTACCGCCTGGAACGACGTCGGCCATGCTAAGGCTTCCACGAAGTATCCCCATGACCGATCGTGACTGCATAAATCTGGAGAACAAGATTGTTTGGTTAAGGCATGCGGCATCTCTAGCAGAAAGGGCAGCAGCATTGTCTTAATTAACCTGCCTGCCAAGTGTGGGAAACCTTGTCCTAAGGGGAATGGCTATACGGAGCCGCGGAGGACTTGACGGGTTGCCCGTTGCCGGGGCTCCGGCTCGAAGTGCAGGAGTAAGAACGGGGTGGTTTTTAGTCAGTAAGAGTCTGTTACTCTCTCTCGCCTCACCCGGGCGAGAGAAATCATAGGCTTTGTTTAACAGTGGACGTAGTTAGTCTATGCGATAGTGATAACATAGCGGTCTTAAGGATGAGGTTGCCAATTATCATAAGTTAATCTTACTTGAAGTGGTCAAAGTATTTAAGCTGTACGCATATCAAATTGCACACATTTATTTAGGCTGTATGCATATCAAATTGCACATAGGTTTTAGTGCCAAGGGCGTTCTCTACCGGTCTATCCAACCTTTAGGTGATGCAGAGACGATTATCAATTTCAATTTCTCGGTGAATTATGCAGTACCTAAGTATAAGTACCTATTCAATGGTAAACCAAACACGATTTAGACCCGCTGATAAGACAAGATAGCACTTGATTATTGCACGGTATCTGCAGCTGCTGTATAGGTACCTACGTGTCATAGATTCGATTTTAGCACTGTAATATTCTTTGTGTGATCCATTGATAGACAGAATCTCATTGTGCAGCAGTTTTATCTAAAAGCCCTTTTGACCTGAATATTTACGTTTATAAATTTCGTATTTACATAAAATTCCCATGAAGATAACACTAGATGAAACAATTGACATTCCAGTTTTTCTAACATTTTTTAATTAGTCGCAAGTTCGTTGGTATTAGGTCAACAAGCAGTCTACATCACGAATGGTTGGCGTTGAATATTTATGACCCACAAGTAGCCCTGCAAAAGGTATTTTAGCCATACAATGAATTTTCTATGGCTAGCTAAATAACTATAAATTGTGATGGTCACTATAGAGGCATACACAAAGACCTTTTTACTAGACTATGATAAGAATTCAACGTTTAGATAACGTTTCATTGCCAAATTAGATAGGACAACATTTAAAATTGTACGTTTGTCCATGGTACTTTATTGGCGAATATCTCGAAAGGTAAATATGTAACAGTAAAGTACTAAGGAAGTAATTTGAAGTAACGTTTTTTAATCTTTAAGTGCTTAGGAGTTTAGAAGATAAAGATATAGACACATGGATACTTTCGTCGTTAATTTGAGTAATTTACTGTGTATTAGTGCAGTCTATCTCGTTGGCCGAGTGGTCGCAAGTGCGACTGCCGGGCAAGGGGTCTCGGGTTCGATTCCCGGGTCGGGCAAAGTATTACTGGGTTTTAAAAAAAATCTCAGTAGTAGCACGGAGTCTGGAATTGTGCCCGGTATATGGCAATAGGCTCACCCCCTATTACATGGGACTCGTAACATAAATAGTGAAAAGTGGGTGTTACATTGTACAGTGGCATAATGTGCACCTCTGCCTACCCCTTCGGGGATAAAAGGCGTGATGTTATGTTATGTTATGTTAGTGCAGTCTAAGTAGGTTAATTGTAAGCTCGTTCATTGGTCTCGTAGTTAACACGAGGATGCAGTGTTGATTTACGATAAATATTTCTTTTGTATTATTCTATATGTAGTAAATTCCAATTTTATGGTTTAACTTCTTTTGGTAAGTCACAGCGGAGATCTACGCGGGACACAAGGAGTTTTCTATTGTCAAAGTCAAAGCATTTATTTCAATTAAACCTTAATTAGGTACTTTTGAAACGTCCACTAATACAAAATAAATAATAATCTGTCAGTCAGTCCGTCAGTGAAGCTAGGTGAAGCTAGGTGAAGCTAGGTGCTCATTCTCGTGTCATTCATGTGTCTCATATATCGACAGACAAGAGGTTAAACTAATGGGAAGGGATTTTTAGAGTCTTTAGTTACTTCCAAATAAAATAATATTGACTCGTCGAGTACCGTCATTATAGACACAATTATAGAACAATAGGTTGCGGTCACCGGTGACCGCTTGGTGTTTGACAGTTTAAACGAACTTAATTACTTCGATCGGAGCCGTGTTATTCCTAGGACGCCAAGTTACAGAGTGGCACCGCCAGAAGCACGCGTGCTTAAATGGCAATAAAAAATAGGGGTGCCAATGAGGTGTTTGCTTAGGACGCTCTCTAGGCTTTATCTGACTCTTACTTCGATTAAACAACATCCCATCTTTTACTATTGACTTCCTTAAGTAAATAAGCCTGAAGGGTATATATAACCTGAGCGTGTTCTAAGCACGAGTGAATATGGGACAACGTGCTCCATCGTAGACCGCATCATCGCTTACCTCCAGGCGAGATAGTGGTCAAACGTTGACCCATCACTACATATTATAAAACAAAGTCGCATCCGCCGTCTGTCTGTCCTTATGTATGCTTAGATCTTTAGAACTACGCAACAGATTTTGATGTGGTTTTCTTTAATAGATAGAGTGATTCTTAAGGAAGGTTTATATGTATAATACATGCATATTGCATCCGTGCGAAGCCGGGGCGAATCGCTAGTCAAATATAAAATAAAAGCTATACAAAAAGTAATACGATAAACAATGGTAGCTAGGTCTGTTGTGTACACCTGTGCTTAGGTATGTAAAAACTTACTTCCTACAAATCCTACGTGATGGTAACTTGCCAAGTCATTGATAATAATATATGTACAATATATTATATAGGTACTCATGGTACTTTTTTTGTTATTTCTTGTACCTATTGAAGGGTGTCTTCAAGGCCCGAGTGAATAGGTTGCTTATGGGTTATCGTGGCCGCATCATCAGTTATCTACCACCAGGCGAGATAGTGGCCAAACGCTGCGTCGGTCCATCAAATATAAGAAAAATATTTCGTAGATACTGGTCTTGTAAACTTTGCCTGTTTTTGTTGTAAGCATCTACCTTTTGCCTTCCTAAAAATTCCGCCTCCAATTTGAGTACACTATATTATTATTTACATCATCAAACCAGAAGATATTGAAGTAATGTTATGAAGCGCAGGAAGGGGCGTCAACAACACGTGTTGTGTACTACATAGTAATTTATATGCGTACCCATGTAGGTTGTACCTACATATTGATGTGCGTTTTATATTAGCGGGAAAAACATTGCTTTATAAACTTAGTGCGTAGATCAATGTTTCATTATTATTTACCATCCTTTATGTCGTATGCGTAGGATATGTTAACATAAATTATACACGTACATAATTTAACACACATTTCATCAAATGGTCTTCCTGTATGATAAAGTATCCGGTTGTGTTATAGGGCCGGATGAGAAAGTTCAGATATGGTAACATACATTCATATCTTTTAGTACACTTGTTGGCCTCCAGAGGACTCGTTTTTAAGTAGAATATTAGTCTTATACCGATTGTGAGGTGGTATGAAAATTATTTGCGATCACTAGATCTTAACAGACTTATCTAACTAAGTAGTAAGTAAGTTATGAATAGCTAATAAGATCTGATCTGCTTCTCATCAGCTATTGACAGTCGGAGTCGATGCTAAAGTTCATGCATTTTTGTAATCGCCAAGAACAGATAATATCACCTTACCTTCAGGGCTAAACATTTCAAAGTTTCCAATTGGGCAGCCCGGCTGCTTGTTTTTTTCTCCAGTGTAGTTGGGCCAGATATCCACAGTACCAGTGGAAGTGCTGGAGCCATAGTTCCCAAGGTCTGTATGAATGATGTCCACGAACTTAGCACACGTGCGGTCAAGACCACTGTGTAATGAAAGCGGGCCTTCGAACAGAGTACCAGCTGGATCTAGGCCCGTGATTCTGAAATGAGATACATGCATGCATACATAAATTAAATCAATTTTCCGAAAGAAGATATGCAATATTTTTTTTTTTGGACAAGGCCGCCTCAATCTCTCAGAACGGCTGCAACTCCTGTAAGCCAGGATCTACAGTAGATACAACCACGAAAACACCGGAACACTGAAGTCCGGCGCGTCCCAGGGACATGAATAACTGTCTTGGTTCTCGCAACGAAGTGAATCAGAAGATATTATAAGAGGAGAAGAAAAAAAAAAGATAGTTTCCACTTCCCTCGGTGAATTACTGCAGGAGACAGAGTGGATTAACAGTTTGCCTGCCGACAGAAAACTGTTGAAGGTACATCCTCCGCTATCGTGGCCCAAACCTTGTCCCCCATTCAAGGTGTTAAGCCTAAAGGCACAAAGAAAAGAGACTGTACAACTGGGTGAAGCCCAGTCGCCAAGCACCACAGAAATTTGACGGAGATACGCAATATGCTTAAAGCAAGAAGTAATAATGGAGTTATCTCATACAGTATAGTGTCCCATGTAACATAGTGCGAAAATATTCTATTAGGGACGAATGCAGATTGAGTTCATATTTTGATAATAAACAGCATGATGTTATACATATTGATAATGATATTTATCGATAATTTTAAGAGCTGAACTTACATCTGTGACAAACAATAAATGCATTTAAATTTGAATGAATTTTAACACTAATAAAATAACCTTTCACTTTTTAGTTTTTACTTAATGTCTTTTATCATATCGAAGGTGAAAGAACAACTCTATTAAAACAAAACTACAGGAATTGTTCCTAATTGGGATATAGGAACTATTTAGGTTATTCGCTCACAGAATATTGTAATCACGATGATATGTTCTGTGCGTAAGCAGTTTGCCCACGCAGTACAATGGAGGCGGGAACAGGATAATCACTATTACCCATTATTCTTGATATCCTTATAGATAGAGTAGAGGTCAATACATCTATTGAATACGTAGCAACTTACTGACATACAGTATATGTATTATTAGTATCATGTTTTTTTATCATTGGTTAGAAGCCATCTTGAAACTTGTGCTATTATTTGGAATCTACATGAGGACAAATACATTAAGATGTTGGAAAAAATACAGATCAAGTTCACAAGATTTTTGTATTTGAAATTGTATGGGATTTATCCATTTTTCCCATTGATGTACCCAAGTTTATTCGTCCTGGGGACAGTTGGGTACAATACACTAGAGGTGCGGAGAGATGTGGCACTAGTTAAATATATCGCCAGGGTACTACGAGGATTGGTCCATCACCCGGAAGTGTTGGAGATGTTGGGATTGCGTGTGCCAGACGGATACGTAGGGGCTCGTCGACGCCCCACCCTGTTGGAAGTGCCAAGGGCTAGGACTAATCTTCTTAAATATGCTCCTATTTTGCGTGCTATTCGGATTATAAATAGTGTACCGGAGCATGATTTGTTCCACAACCTACCAAGGTTTATTGAAGCAGTACAAAGGCATATTGAATATCACCGTATTGAGTAATTGGGTCTGTATGGTTATAATAATGTATGTCATACTGAGAGTATGTAACTCTTATAAGTCTAATAATTAAGGTGAAATTTTTATTAATTAAGTTACGTGTTAGACTTAAATGTGTCAGGAAATGTGATATTGCATTGGAATAAACTGTAAGATGTCATATTGTAAGGTGTTATAATAAATAAATAAATAAATAAATGTATTTATACAATCGTTCATAGAATTACTACAAATGCGAAAGTATGTATATTTGTTTGCTTGCTTGCTACTCCTTCACGTGAATACGGCCCAACAAACAAGGGTATATCTCTGTTCCAAATATCATCTTGATCCATACATCGTCTGGAATAACTATAGGCCACTTTTTATCCCACGGCAACACAGACAAAGCCGCTCGCGCTGGCCAAAGCTAATCGTTCATAGAGTTTTATATTTCTCTAGTCGTTAATAAGTAGTTAGTCATTTTAAGACGCTTACCTAGGCACTACATAGCCTTGTTCTCTGGTCAATCTCCCAGCAAATCCCATTAGGTGTGCTCCAAGAGAATGGGCTACTAGGTGTATATCTGATATGGCCACTCCAGCCTTCGTGAAGTCTATCAGAGCTTGTCCCAGTTCTCGGCCAATCTGGATTGGAGAAATAGGTTTTAAGACACATAGTAATATTTTGATGTTGTTCCTACGTGTTGGATGAATTTGCTGGTCGTCTTTTAAAACCATTAGTTTGATTACGCGACTTTGGGTCTCTGGTTCAATAAACTAGCCGGATAAAGGATTCATGTTTTGTTCATTTTTTCAAATTCTCAGTAGATAACGCTCTAGGCTCTAGCCTATTACATTTAAAATACGTCTATAGACTCACCCCTATTATACTGGACACTCTTAGAAATAAGTACTTCGGTCTTATTAAAAGTGTACACATCTGTTTAGGTTAGACAGATGTGTACGGATATCGGGATAATACAGGATGTACGGTACACATTCTTGTTCGATATTTGGTATTCATCTACAGTGTTAGAGGATGACACATTTTAAATTTTAACTAAGCTACGAAATCCTGTCGATGCGTCATGTATCATACATTTTGTTTTGTCATGGCTTAGTATGCAGAGCAGAGCCTACAACCGCGATTGCATAACTTGTTTTACATATAAAGAAAGTAAACAAAGGCAGCTGGAATAACAAGGAGTCAGAACGTCATACATAATTATTATCAAAGGAATTCTTTTGTTTAAAGGGTCAAACAACTTTAAAAATACTTAATTTATTCTAAGTACTTATACATTCTACGGATTGCCGGGCTGCGGGTCGAAGAGTAGGAGTAGGAACGCTGTGGTTTTTAGTCAGTCAGAGTCTAATACTCCCTCTAGCTAAACCTAAGGCGGGTGAAGTCATTGGATGATTTTCCCTCGACCAAATAAGATGTTTACACTAATTCCATTTTCCTACAAATCTACCAATATTTTTGTTGTTGTTCATAATGAGCAAGATAAAACAATATTTATGACGTTATTTTTAACTTTCATTACCTACTTATTTGGAAATGGAGAATCTTTGTTGTAGGTTAACTACTTTTTATATATTTTATTCATATATATAGTGAGGGTGCATTAAAAGTGTCATTACTTCTTAACCCAGGAAATCCCTACCTAGACCACGAATGGCGCTATGTGTACTTATCTCTCCTCAGAAATCTTTAAAGCTTTTTGACCCATTATTGTGACAACCAACTTTACCATTCTAAATACTTATTTGTACAAAATCTTTGGTGTTATAAATATATGTTTTTTTTTAAACTGTCAAACACCAAGCGGTCACCGGTGACCGCAACCTATTGTTCTATAATTGTGTCTACAAAACCGGTACTCGACGAGTTAAGGGGGACAATTATCGAATGACTGCTCCCGCCTAGGTGAGGCGGGAGGGAGTGTCAGACTTTTACTGACTAAAAACCACCCCGTTCCTTCTCCTGCACGTCGAGCCGGAGCCCCGGTAACCCGTTAGGTTCGCTGCGACATAAATATATGATTAGCTCACCTTTTTAGCATTAGGAATGGCACTGAACGCGTATCCTAGAGAAATACCGAACATTCCGCTTTCAGCCTCATTCTCCCAGTTCAGAAGTATGACATTCCTCTTCTTCTTATTTATGTAAGCTGTTAATACTGCTGTTGTCGCTGGTCCAGAAATCTTGCCTCGGTAACCGAAGGTATATATCACAGTAGGCAGCTCCTTGTTGATGCAGGGGATTAACTTTAGTGGGTGTGACAATGGTGTCTCTACATAATTGTTGAGGGACCTGCAAAAAGACGCCATGTTTTTTAAATTGCACATTTACAGTACTTAGTCGTCACTTCTACATATTTCAAGATTCTATGTAGGTACTAGCTGTAGACTGCCTCGTTGGCCGCGTGGTCGCAAGTGCGACTACCGGGCAAGGGATCTCGGGTTCGATTCCTGGGTCGGGCAAAGTATTACGGGGTTTTTAAAAATAATTCTTAGCAGTAGCACGGAGTCTGGAATTGTGACGGTATATGGCAATAGGCTCACCCCCAATTACATGGGACTCATAATATAAATAGTGAAAAGTGGGTGTTACATTGTACAGTGGCATAATGTGCATCTCTGCCGACCCTGCGGGGATAAAAGGATGTTATGTACTAGCAGCGTTAAGTGGCTTGCCTCTGCTACTGTAATATTATTGTTGAGTGTATTTTAAAAATGTTAGCATAATATTCATGAATTCCTAAGTGACAAATGTAGGTATTAGACTGACTGATGCCGGAATATTGAAACGATACTCAATTTTAAGTCGTACTTAAATATCATGCCATCTTTGTCATTTCACAAAGAATTTTTTGAGACAGAACTATACTTAAGCGCGACTTAAAATTCAGTAACATTTCAGTATTCCAACATGAACGTAATATATTAAGTAAGTATTTAAATTGTAACACTTTGACAATGTGTGACTATTCTACTCTGTTTGTTTCTTGTGACTTATTTCTTTTAACTTTATTATTTTAATGTTATTAACATTAATATTTCATGTTGACATATACCTACTGTGCAGATTCATTACAAAATTAATTAAGGTATTTATACACCAGTCATGGTTCAGCATGTTGATACAAACACTAGGTACTGTACAAACTGTACAAGTGTACATGTATAATAAACATTGACTGCACGGTTAGTGCGGTGGCTGGGCAACCGGCTGCCGTGCAGCGTGTCGCGGGTTCGATTCCCGCACGGAACAACACTTTGTGTGATCCACAAATTGTTGTCTCGGGTCTGGGTGTCATGTGTATGTTTGTAAACGCACCCACGACACAGGAGAAAATCCTAGTGCGGGGCAACGTTTTTTAATAAAACAAAACATCCAAGTTTGCTTGTTTGTAAGTATTATTATAATCTACACATGTTTTAGCAAATAAAACGATCGTTATCTTTATCTGTATACTGATAATGTTGAGTTGTTACTCTGGTCGCATAAATTGCATTCATAAACTTAATTACTTTAGATATACTATTAACCTGTCTGTTTATATTAATATACTAGCTATACCTAATTAGCTAGGCCAAATTTTTAGACGTTGCATAAGGCATAAAGTTAGTGTTCATATCTATACTAATATTATAAAGAGGAAAGATTTGTACCTATTTTTTTATGTTTGTATGTTTGTAATGAATAGACTCAAAAAGTACTGGGCCTATTTAAAAAATTATTTCACCAATAGAATGCTACATTCTTCCAATTTGACATAGGCTACATTTCATTTTGAAAAAATTAGGGATCCTTGGTAAAATTTGAATAATGTAACCGAAGGTGTAGAAAAATGAGTCTTAAAATGTCTTTCGTTGAATGCGCTGCCGAAACTATTAGCGATAGAACAAAATAATGTACAACAATATTGAAGAACATCATAATATCTACAAAAAACTCCGCGGTAGCATATGTCCAACTATTGTGGTTATGTCACTACAACAATCTAAATTTCCAAAAATAAATAATTGTCTACCCCGTGCAAAGCCGGGACGGGCTGCTAGTGTCCAATAAAGAACTAGGTTTGTAGAATTACGTCAAGCAAGAGAATGAGCAACAGTTCATTATTTATTATAATTCATTCTCTTTACTGCAATTTGTAACAAGACATTTCATCATAGACTTAGTCTGTCATAGATATAGTCTTAGTTATAAATACAAAATTCAAGTAGTAGGTACATGTACATCGCGCTAGAATTAGATTTTGAAAGAAAGAAGTAGGTATATAGGCTCAATTACCCTCCCCGTCCCTATTCTCCCCAATCCCTGAATCCCCAACGATCCTCAAACTCCTAATCCCCAAAATGCCGGTAACGCACTTGGTAAGGTATCTGGTATTCCAGGTGTCCATGGGCAACGCCGATTGCTTACTACTTATCAGGTGATCCGTCTGCTCGTTTACCAGCTTATGCCATAAAAAAAATATAGGTAGTCGGCAATTTTCATTTTTCATTCTCATCAAAAAATGTCTTGTTTAGGTACCTATATTATGACTTTTGTGAGACATTTTTTAAGGGGGGATAATCATTGAATTACTTCTCCCGCTCGGATGAGGCGGGATGTGTTAGATTCTTACTGACTAAAACCCACCCCGTTAAGTCCTCCGCGACTCCGTGTCCTGTCCGTGAGACATACTGAATTAATTGTTATGTTTTCGACTTCACTAAGTCAACAAACAGTTAGGTACGTCACTACGTAACTGTTTGTCAAGGAACTATAGCAGCGCAACAGTCGCCGTTTCATATGTCGCGGAATGCTGCTCATGAGTATAAGCCTCTAGAATGGCTTGATACTAGTCGAGTTTCTCGTCAAACAGTTACGTGTTTGAGCCGAAATCATATCTAATAATTATACAGTCTTGGTTGACTGAACGATAGTAAGCATGCGCCCTTATATTACCTACATATACAATACATAACATGAATAATATTATTATGTCATAGGAATATCATCGTCATCTTAAAATATTCCCAAAAGGTTGGTATTGCTATTATGTTGTTCATGGCCACACGAATGAAACTAGATTATTATTGGATTGAAACTACCCATAAATATTTACAACTTCTTTTATACCTACTTACCTAAAATACATTTTATATTTCGCACAAACTATTATTGATTGCACAAAAATAATTATTGCGTTTATAACCGGCGAATATTGCATATGGAAACGGGGCAATGACCTTTACTTTTGCTTATGTACGTGTGACTCGCAATTCGATGCTTCGGAATTCAAAATTGTTAAAAAAAAACGTTATTTCTTAATAGATCTGTGGTAGCGCTATTTTAATCTTATATGCTTATTTTAAAAGAACTCGAGCGTATTCCACTTATCTAAAATCTAGATTTGTTAATAGGTATTCGCATAACCTAATGATATTATACCTGACCTTGAGTCGAACTCACGACCTCCTATAATTGTATTCACAAAAACTAGACCAAACAGTCACTGCGGCAAAGAAATTGTAATGGCTGAGTGACTATAGTTAATAGAAACGTGTTGTTCTATCTGTAGTGCAAACACAAGCGCATAAACGTATCCTAATCTGTATTTTGTTCATATATTTTCAACTTAATCACAAAGCGATAAAGCTGAAAATGTAAGACGAATGAATTGGGATAGGTAGATGAGCTGGCTTGTATTTGTAACATCTTCTACTTACACGTGCGTGATAAATTACAAAATTTTGTTAATATATTCTTTGCACGCATTGTTCTGGTTCTGGCCAAGACCTTAACAATATGGTAAAAGACGGTTTCATACTGTATTATTTGACTGTCTTGTAAATACTTGACACTGAAGTAAATCTACTAAAAAAAACATTGTATTTAGAACTTTGTTTCGATATTGAAATACGAACTTGCGTTACAGATAGCAAGTTAGTTTTAACTATGGTGAATTTTGTTAGATAATTGCAGAGCGATAGACAAATTACTTAATTAAAATAAATTATGTACCTAATGCTCTAGTGGATTCAGCAATCGTTCTATACAGACAGACTGACAAATTACGCTATAGACAGATATGTGCATTTTTTGTAATATTGCTTGTCTATAAGATTGACGGTGATTTTGCCGTCGTAGATAAAAGGTCTGTAGCTAAAAGAGCTATAGTTAGGTTTATCTTCGTGTCGGTGAAACACTTAGTAGGTGCAAAGGGCTGTCGTCGACAGTAACGCATATGAAAGGTTCTGTCAGCGAAAAGTACATTGATGAAAGACCCTGTTGGGAAACGGAAATAAATGAATCATCCTGTCGACGAACAGTCCAGTGGCGAATCGGTCGTAGGAGAACGGTTGCTGAATCGCTCTAGTGGAGCCACCTATTAACCTATTAAGAAAAACAATGTTCAATATTTTTCAAATTCGTTGTAAACATATAATTGGGATGATGACAGGGTATGAAAATTAAAAATATAATTAGTCCATAAGTCAGGTAATGAAAAAAATATTAGACACGCATTTTTTTATTTTCTCGTATAATACAACAATACTTAAATAAAACGAATCAAATTTTAGGAGTGGGGGCTAAAACGTCATTTCTACGTATAAAATGTACTTAGAAGTGACGTCACGCGACATTTCAAATCAATATATCGTCGAAAGTATTCGTTTCTGTAAGAAAATAAAAAATACGTGTCTAATGATTTAAAATAATCTACCAGACGGACATTAAAATAAAAATTAGGCATCTACCCTATTGTGATTGTATCATATTTTATTATACGTTATTACAAGGATAATTATGTGTAAAGTAACATGCATCACAAACTTGTTAGACACCCAAAACCAAATTTCATGTGGTAATTCTTCATTAGTTGTTAAATTCGCTGATACTAATAAAAAGTTTCGTAACGGTATAATAGGGACTAGTTTTGCACTTTGTAGACAAGTACTAATTACTAAAGCGACTGTACCTGTATGAAATGCTAGGTTGAGTATTGCTGATTTCCGGCGGACAATTAAAGCAACGCCTAACAATCAACTTTCAATCGACATGGCGTAGGAATCACAAACCTCATTTTCTTTTGCCTTGACAGTCTTGAAACTGTATTTTTTATTGATCCAGTGGTCTTTAGAGTCCTAGGTTGTTGAAGTTGTTGTTTTATTTTTTGGTTGTTTTTTTATATACAAATATTTAACTGTATTTGATCCCTTTGTTGTTCCTAATTTTAGTTATACTATATATATATGTAGATAAATATTTTAATTGTGTATTTAGTGACATGTAGACGATTTGTTAGATATAATACT